CTCCCTCCCTCCCTCACTCACTCACTCACTCACTCACTCACTCCCTTTTATCCTCTTTCCCACACTTCTTCTCTACTAACAAACTATTCTATTTTTTACAGGTCTTACTGTAGAAAACCATTGCGTAAATATTTAGAATTCATGGTTGACAGGAATATATTATAAAGGATTTCTCTAAGTAGTATATAAATGAAGCACATGAAAACATATTCAGACTTGCATGAGATGCAGGATTGGAAATAATATCTATGTTAAAATTTCTGGAAAATTTTCAGTATTTATGCTCACCATAAACTCACCAAAATTTAACAGCATTAACCTGAACTGTTCTATATTCAGTTATTTGAAATTTATCCATAAAATGTTTTTTTCTCTGAGAAAAAGCTTGAAGAACTGATACATTTTTTACAAAATATTGCTGCTTACCTGAGGAATTCCACTTTTCCTGCTTCGTGGCAGTGGGTTTGAGTTCCACTGGATGTCTGGAAGCAGTCTGAGCCTGAAAGAAGCAGGGCTGTGTGAGGTGCCTGGCTACAAGTGCATCTTGAGAGATGGGACTGCTCACAGTATGTGTTTGTACTAATGCTAATTTGGGAACACCTTCCATCATCCAGCAGATTATATCTTTTGCTGTCCTCATTTTTTTTCCTCATTTTCTCACTTCCCAAAATTGCCTTATGCATGTTTAAAAAAATTGTAGAGGTCTGTTAAAGTTTGCCAATGAAATTCACTGAAAATGGTATCTGTTTTACATTGCGGAATTTGGCCAAGACTTTGCTTCCAAATATGAATCTGGCTTTCAAGATGCCATGATAAAAGACAGCATCCATAAAGACAGCCAGGAGAGCTGCTGTGCTGACAGGGAGGAGTGTGTGGAACAGGGAAGAGGAGAGCAGCAAACAAAGGAGAGCTCTGTGGCCTGGAGGGGAAGAAGGAAGCAGGCTGACACTCAGAGTGAGGGATGGAGAAGAAGTAGCATGAGTGTGTCCTGTGGTGAGGAGGGAGATAAGAAAACTGGAGCAGAAGGGAGTAAGTATGGGGGAGAATGAGAGCAAAAAAGCTGGGATGACTGGGGAGAACAAGAAGGTAAGGGATAAAATGAGATGGATGCACTGTGAAAAATTTATAAAAATGTTGTTGTGAAGACAAATTGATTAATGCTTTATAAGTACCAGCTTATATCCACAGCTTAAATCCACAAAAAATCAAGATGTCAATAATCATGTTTCAGTGCAGAGTTAAGATAAGGTGGTAAATAAACTCCAGAGCGAAGTATTGAATGATAAGAGAAAAGAGAAATATTGAAAAATTGTCTAAGGTATATTCATGTGCCCCGAGTGAGGCAGGTGTCCTGTGGAAGAACTAAAGATTGTATCAAAAAAATTAAAGATTATATCATGGCATGCTCACAAAGGTTAGCAAATAAAATTTGCATGGGCAATCTTAATTCTGACATTTCCTAAATCTGAGGGTTTAATTTTGCAAACTTAATGTTCTTACTGGCATTAAAATTAGAAAACATTTAAGCTGGGTTAAACATAGAATTAATGAAACCTTAACTGTAAGTGTTTCTGCTTCCCAGATGGTTTAAAGCTATTGGTATACCTAGCTCAAACAAACAAATAAAAAATTATATTGCTTTATTCCTTAGATGTAAAACACTGATGTTTTAAAAATAAGCACAGCATGGGAAGTTCTATTGAAGATCTAATTAGACTCTGAACTTTTAAATCTGTCTTATGGTGCCTCATGTTTCTGTGCAGAAACTCGAGAAATAATAGCACTGCACTCAGTTTGCTTCACTGCCTTCAGAAATCTTTATTTCATGCTGCAGAATTAAACTGTCATTAATTTGATTCACATCATGTAACTACACTTCAAGAAGAATAATACAAACTTGATCTGACATTCTTATTTTCTTTTCCAGCAACTTCCTTTATTTTCTAGCTTTTATAGTCCTCTGGGCTCCTGTTCTACAGGATATTCTGATTATATCAGTTCTTTGACTCTTTCAGCTTTCAACCTGACTTCCTCAAGACATTTAAATAGTGGGTCTACAGGGGAAATTAGCTAGCTTTCCTTGTCTTTCTCAGGTTCTGATTTCACCCTCTATTTCCATTATTTCTAGAAGAAAACAACCCCATTCTTAAGAACAGAAATGAAAAATGGGGTTTAAGAGACAATTTATAATGACCTCCCTGGCATTATGTGATTTTATGTTGTAACTAAATAGAGAACTCAGATTTTTTAACTACAACAGCAGAAAAGTAGAAAAGAGAGAAAATGCTCTTTGAATAATATGATGTTGATGGTTTGAAATGTTAAACTAAGGAAAGCAACTAGTGGATTTGGAGATGAAAAACTTTTTAAATTATTTCTTGAATCTCAAAAAAAATCCCCAGGTAATCCCTAAATAAGCCATAAAACAACTTGTAAAAAGCCATATTTCTGAAACATATTTTCTGGTCTATCTTTTACAGTAATACATTTTCCAGTGTGCATTATTTATTGTAGTATGAATATTTCACCATATTTTCCAACACACCACGAAAAATTACTGTCTCTCAATAAGTAACAGAACTCTTTGTAATTTCAATTCTTAAATTCCAAAATTCCCTTTTATCTTAGTTAAGTGAATTATATATTTGAAAATACGAGTCTTCAGTCCAACTGTTCATTTGTATCACTTCCAAGAAATCTCTTTCTCTAATTCCACCAGTCTACTTGGTTATAATTCTCAATGCTCAAAAAGAGATGTGACTAAGAGAGATAGAAACTTTGTATTACAAGGTATCTGTCTCATAATGAACTACTTTTTAAATTTCCATGGACTAGCAATCATTTTGAGCCAAATGTTTAAAAGGAAATCCCCTTAGGCTTTGGAAAGAGAAAAGGCCACAGACTATGTGGCAAAATATATAATTTTTAGCGATAAACTGTTATGTATCATTTCAATAAATAAAGATTTAAATGAAGAGGCTTACTTCATGCTGTTTCAAATTAAAATGTGTTAGCAATAATCATAGGGAAATAATACAATAAAAAAACCACTGATACAAAACTTGCGAAAAATAAGAATGAATTCAAGATGGTTACTGAGGTAGTGAAAAAATTTTCATTGAAATATTGGTGTCTGATATAGCAAATGATAATTGCAATAATTTCACTTTTACTCACTCATGTATATATTGTTGGATGTCTTGCCAATGGAAATTGCTGTGTTAGCAGGGACCAACAGAATTGAACAAAGACGGAAAGGAAAAGAAAATTAAAAATATCTGTATGATGAAACTCAAAAAAATAAATAGGATAGAATACACTTTAACATTAGGCCAAACATAATAGCTATGACATCTTGCAGAAGAGAAAATTTATGCTGGATGTTTAAACAGGCAGACAAAATTACTGAAAATTAAAGCTCACAAGCAGGTGCTGATTTTCTATTGGCTTTTATATATCCAATAAATACATTCTAGTATCACATAGGCTTTGGTACTTTTTGCCCTAAGAAATTTAATAAAAGTTAAGAACAAGTATTACATGGATGTTGTCACTTTTTTTCACAGGAGGTAATGAAACTGAGTGCTAACAAAATGAAAATGGCTATATGAGAAAGAGAGAAAAGAAGTTCATGAGAAGGATTACCTGACATGGCTACCTCGTTATCTGTACTAAGAGGCTTTGGGTTCCAAGAGATCTCTTTCAGTGGGGCTATTTTACACTGTCAAATACAAATTTGGAGGACAGAGTTAGGACAATTCTTGCAGAAAACAGGTTAGAAAATCAGTAATGACAGTATCAAACTGTTGAATTTAAAAAAAACAAAACAAAACACTTTTTACCTCATATCCCTGATACAGGTCAAGCTCCTACAGTCAAATAGAATTCTCTTTGTTGCATAAATAAGTGGCTGTGGTAGTTCAAATGAAAATGAAGGTATGAGAAACGAGGAGATGGGAAAAGTAAAGCTTCACAGAAAGTGTTGATAAGGATTCACAGAATACTCTGAGTTGGAAGAGACCCACAAGGATCATCAACTCCTAAATAAATGTTCTCTAGCAGGAATTGAACTCACCACCTTGACATTATTAGCACCATACTCTGACCAACTAAGCTAATCTCAGAATGGCACTAAAAAGGAAAAGAAATAGGAAAGAGAAAAGAAGAAATAATAAAAAATGAAGAAGAAACAGAAGAAAATCAACACAGGGTAAGTTTTTTTTTTCTCATATGTAAAATAAGACAAGAAAATTTTTGTCTCATACATAAGAAGAAAATCTATATAGAAAGTGGTAGAGCAAAACACAAAGTCTGTTAGCAAAGCTACTAAATCAGAATTCAGTGTGTTTTGTTTGTGACCTTTTGGAAGGAGTGGGACAGGTGAATATGATACAATCCAGTATGTAAGAAAGGAAAAGTACAGGATTCACTTGTTAATGGTTACTCATTTCAGAATTCAGAAGCAGCATTCGGACTGCCTTACAAAGGAAGTCAGCTACATTAAACATCAATGGCTATATGCATTGGAAGATATTGAAAATTGAAAATCTTATCTGCTGGATTCTTTAGGTATATCATGTAAGCAGCATTATTAATTTAATTGTGGTGCTCTTGAACTGATTTTTCTCTGCAGATTGAATACTGCATATTGTGTCTATCCCTTAGGGCTTTCATACTACTATTTGTTCATGCCACTGAACAAGAACAAAACAAGAGCAAGAGAAACAAAGACAGGCATCCTTTTTGAGGTCCTATGCTCCCTGATAGAACAAAGAATGGTGAAAGGAAATAAAATGCATCTTCAAAGATGTACATGTTACTGAGAAAAAAGGTGCACTTGATTATTCAATTCAGAAGTCTCCAAGAAGATGAGTGCAAAACTATCAGCAAGTAACACCCAAAAGAGCATATCTTGGTGATAAAAAGGAAAGCTATTTGTTGACAGAACTACTATAAAAAGGATGTCACTGAGTCCTGCCAAGGATATAAAAAAGTGTCAGTGATATTTTAAGTTACCTAAAAGGTAACTAAAATCACAGCTAGTATTTACTGCATTTATAAGCAATAGGCAGTCAAATACATCTGAGAGATGTTTTGATGGACAAGTGATGAAATTTTATGTTTCATAATGTAACTGGATGCCTTTTAGGCTTAAATCCTCTCCCTGACAGAGGGTCATTGCTCTGTTTCCAAAGCTAGCAAGTTTAGTGTAGCAAAAAGCTTTGAAATTTATAAGCTTCAAGTTATAAGAGAGATTTGAGTATGGAAATCAAGTTGTTCTACAGTTAGAACTGTAGTGTAGCTCTTTATCAGAGTTATCCCTATATTCACACATATGGGTGTATGTATCAAGTCATTTGCTCCCTAGATAGTCCGGGAATGTGCCAAAGATTCTGTGCAGAGATGTGAAAATGGACTGGCGTGAAACAGAAGATAGATGTGAAACCAGGTCATTGATTGAACTACAAGACATATACAGAATGAAGTATTTGACTGGTTATTTCAAGAAGCTCTCCATCTGGGAATTTTGAGGAGTCTAGAGAATCTCCCAAGACTGTCCATAGGCCAGTTTGTGTGCTTAAATGCATTGATTAGCACCTTGGATAATAAATATGACAATTCCCCTCTGGACACTCCCCTAGTCATTTCCTCCTGTAAAACTGATCAAACAACATAGAAATAAGACTCAGGTAGTGATCCTATAAAACCTTGTAAGTTGTGGCTGGATGACAGGTGCCCACCCAAGCTACTCTGTCACTGCCATCATATGGCCAGGGGAGTTCAAAGAAAAGGAAAAGGTTTATGGGTAAGGACAGTGGGAGGTCACTCCCCAGTTACCACCACAAGCAAAAAAAACTTACTCAGGAAAATTACAAAAATTTATTACCAATCAAATCAGGCT